CAAGAAGGTGCTCCATGAACAACGGCCCTGTTTACCACACCAGCCACTGACCTAGAGCTGTAGGTGTGTCTCATCAGTTGTGCCTCCCACCAGGCCTGGACCCATGCCACCACTATCCCCATCAGAGAACCTGCGAGGCCTGCCCAAGGTCACACAGAACATCAAGGCTATCCGTTGAGGCAAGATACCTTGGCTCCACCTGCAACACTCGTAAGTGACCAACTCTAAAATATGCACCAATAGAAATCTGAACCCATTCCCCAGATGCCTGGATTCCTACTTGTAAATGAATACTCTAGGGTCCACCAAGAAAGAGTCAGTTAAACAATGTTACATTTACAGGAGAGAGCACTATATAGTGATGACACTAAAAGGTTAGCTCATGAGGACAGGAAACTTGTCTCTTCTGTATATGCCCTGTTTTACCTAGGCAGTGTCCTGCGGAGTGGCCACTCATGTCCACTGGGTGGGTGAGTGGATGGATGGATGGATGGGCAGGCGAAGAAGGAAAGAACAAAAGAGTGAATAAGTTGATTGCTGAGTGATAAAACTACATCTGAACTCTATCTTTATGCTTTTCTTTTTTTGCTTAGTCTCGCTTCCTGAATATTTGATAAGGCAGATTTATCATTTGTAAGGTGCGAAAACAAAACTGACTTCAGTCAGCCCGACTCACTGCCTCATCATATCGACATGACCTGTAAGCACTTTCTGCTGCAATCAGAGAGACCACGTGTCCAGCCAGTCTGGCAAATGGATCCTTTCCCATGGCCTTTGCCAGCTGAGCCCTGGCTCTTCCTGACTCCCTGACTGTGTCAGGGGAACAGGAGGCTTCAGCAAAGCGAAGCTCTCCTCTTCTCCCATCATCTCCTCACCCTCCCACCTTTCTGTGCTCTTACGTGGGCTACTCTACTTCCTCCTCAGTTACTGCCACCAGTGAGATGACAACCAGAGTAATTAACATTTACAGAGCATTGACTATGTCCTGGACATCTCGGACTTGCTTTGTTTCCTCCTAATCACCACCTTCTAGCAGAAGCTGACTGGCTGAGTAACTCACCTGCCCCAGGTCATCTGACTGGTAAGTGTCTGAACCAGGACAGCTGATATCAGCCTTTAACCACTGTGTCAACTACACCTACACTGTGCAGAGTGGCCCCAAAGATCTAACGCCTGTCCACATGGGGTCACATGCTTGGTGCCAATTGTGGGCTGGCACTGTAGTCACATGGAACTGAGTACCTGCTGTGTGCAAGCCCGGGCATGCACTAGAAGTTTGGGACAGAAAGCACAAAGTTCTCCGGAGAACTAGAAAGTAAAAATAATGTCATAAAAAGTAATGATGATGGCAGCCAGCATTATCAGGGGAATGCTCCTTTCAAATGCATTGTTGCTGTTAACCATGCAGTCACCCCCAGGCAGGTGCTGTCAAGCCCAGAACACTGCAGCTCAGAGGGAGGGATATAATTGCCCAACCCACACAGCGCCCAAGAGGCAGAGTTGGGATGTGACTCCAGAGCTTTTCTGATTCAGAGTCTTGGCTGTTGAAACAAAGGGATGTAGGGTAGGCAGCTGAGCCTCAGTGAGAGTCCACCTGAAGGGAACCTCCAAAAGCAAAGACTTTCATGTGGAGTCAGGCAGCAGGTGCACAGAGGAGGGTGTGGGAGCTACTGGCAGGAGACGGGGGTGGGATGAACTGACTGAGGCTGACCAGACAGCCTGTGCTTAACCCAAAGGTAGATGGGAGCCATAGCGAGTTCATGAACAGTGGAGGGGTGAGAATACACATGTGCTTTAGGCAGTCACTCCAGCAAAGGGGGGTAGGAGAGATACAAGACAAGAGATCAAGGATTCTGTAAGAGACATAACAGAGGATACAGAGCAGTGGTCCCGAGGGGCACTGGATCTGTTTGGGGCTTGCCCCTCTCCCTGAAGGAGGTCTTCCCCTCCCCTTAGGGAGCTACCATACCCATGGTCTCCTGGTTTGGGTGGGGCTGCCCCACTCCCACTCCAGGGTGACCAGCCACAGTTCCAAGGGTTGGTTCAGGGCGACACAGGACAGGCCAGGGAGGGGCCCTCATTGTGGGGATGCAAGCTGCACTCACCTGCAAGAGAGCCTCCTCGCCTCTCCTCCCCATGAGGACAGCTCTGCCTGGCCTGGAAACTAGGTGGTTGGTGACCTTCTGCATGCCCACTTAGGGACAACTTGACCTCTTGCCCAACACAGGCTAGAAAGGAGGAAGAATTGAGGGGGTAGGGAAGCAGTTCTTGCCCCGGACTATGCCAGGAAGCTACAGGTTGATGTTTTGCTGCAGCTAATCTACATCTGGCTTTTCTCCCACATCTGAGATTGCTGACCAGTCACATGGACTAACTGTATATAGGCCCAGAAGCAAGATTGGAGCCCAGCAGGAAGGCCAGGTGAGGCCAGTACGGGGCCTGCATGTCCCAAACCCTGCCAGCCAAGCCAACAGAGGAGGATCATCCAGAGACTTTCAGACAGAGCGCTCTTCCAGAAAGCAGCTGCTAGGGGATACCAGCTGAGAGGGGTAGGCGGGACCAGGTAGACATCTTTCTGGAAAACTCTGAGGGAAGAAAGGGAGAAGGAAGGCCATAGATAAGGGATGTTGGGAGGGGAAGACATATGTTTCAGAGAAAAAAAAAAAAGTCCTGAGGAGGGGACCCTGGGGAAGAGAGAAAGCCCACACACACTCAGCCCCTCTGGCCCAGCCCCCAGCTCCTGGAGGACACCAAGAGCTGCTTCTGCACCAAGCCCCTGCACACCTGTGAGAAGGGGTTTGGACCTGAGAATCCCAGGCCAGAATGGGAGACTTTCTTACACACCTCTGGCCAGTCAAGACATCTGACCACAAAAGCTCTCCTTGTCACACACAAGCAAGCAAACATGTCCCTTGAAAGCTGTATCAGAACCGGCTGCACTGCTGAAGAAGTCACACAGCTTGGAGAGGAGAATCAAAACCACTTCCTTAGAGCAAAGAGGCCAAGGGCCTGAGTCTCCGCTCTGAGTCAGCCTCCTAGGGTAAAGTCCTAGCTCTGCACATTCTAGCAGAAACGTGTGACCTTGGGCAAGTCACAACACCCCTCTGAGCCTTGGTTCACTCAGGTGTCAAAGGAGAACAATCTGTGAACCAGAGATGTGCAGTGACAGAAATATTGAAAGTTACTGGTAGATGTTCTGAACCCTTTTCGCTGGGTCATGAGGACAGGTGGCAGAGTTTAACAAGTTTTTCTAAGAAGAACGAGAGCAGACAATGCCACCAAAAGTCGCTGATGCATTTGTCCAACAGATGGCCGGGAAGGAAGGCAGACTTCCAGCTGAAGCAGACGGAGCCCTCAGCTCCCACTCATATCCCACAGCCCATTCATAAGATCAACAAGCAGCAGGGAAAGCATTTTTAGCTCCCCCTCCCCTGCTGGCACCCCCAACTCCCATCCCAGTTGTTGGGGGCAGGGTCAGAGGAGAAAACCCACAAAGCCCAAGGGAGGAAGGAAGTGCTCGCTAACCGCATGGCTCCGAAGCCCTTCCAGCCTGGCCCAGTGGCCCGGAGCATCTGTTAGGAATCTATCCACAGGATGTTCTCTTTCTTCCTGGGGTCACCTTCTCCACTTGGTAGAAAGAACAATAGCTTCAGAAGCATAACACTGTCTGATAGGGGGTGGGGTGATGAATGGGCGGCGGGAGCAGAGAAACTTCAGGTTTACTGTCCTAGAGTTCAGGAAGGAGGGAAACTGGCCCAGAAGACAAAGCTTCAGCTGCTTGGACACAACAAAATATAGCTGAAGTTCCCAGTCACACACTAGTAGGGGTAAGTGGGGATCAAGAGTTTGCACTTAATCCACTTGCAAAAATATCCACCCCAGTGGCTAGTGGACAGAGGTCATGGGCAGGTAGGATTTCTGAGTTCAAATCCTGGCCCCACTAACTCTCCACAAATGCCCTCTCTGTGCATCTTATTAAATATCAATTGTTACGGTACTTTGTGCTTCTGATAATTTAAATTAATCCTATGGAAAGCAATGAATGATCTCTAAGAGGCAGCTCTCAGGGAAACATTTTAGTAGGGAGAACATTTAAAACAAAACACCTGTAAAATATTCTTTGAATGCAAATAAATGCAAAATATCATTTGATTAAGACAGCCATTAAGGAAAGGAACAGTCACGTGATGCTCGGCACAATCTTACAGTTTTTATTTCTTTCACGAATGACCGTGAAAGAAACGCTGACTTGCCTCAGCGTTTTACACTCACAACAGCTCTCCCAGATTATAGGTGAGGAAATCAAGGTCCTGAGAGGTTAAGCAACTTGTCCCAAACCACACAGGTAGGAAGTGGCCACTCTGGGATTCAAACTCACCCAGTCCCCGCCCTAACTGCCAGGCTGTGGCGCCTTTGTCTGAATGTATATTTCCAAGCTGGAGACCAGAGAAGGGAGAGTCCATTCTCCAGTCTCAGCTTGAAAGGGTTCATTAGCAACGATGCTGAGCCTTTGCTTCTACTGAGGGACAAACAAGGTGGTACACAGGTGAATGGCTCCACACACACACCCGCCCCCCCCCCAAGGGCACAGCGCACATATTGAAAGGATTTTGCTTGGTGACTTCTCATTTTGACATACATCTCAGATCAAAATATAGGGCACTTCCAGCTGCCCTCCCTGCCGGCTTCTGCGTGCCCCTCCAGTCAGCAGCGGTCCGCCCCAGAACAGACCGCTATTCTGACCGCTCAAGGTACAATTAGTTCTGCGTTTTCAGTAACTGTCCCTCATGGAAAGTAGTGTGCAGCAAGAAGGCCAGGCGGTTACCTCCGGTGGCTCTGTAAATCCAAAGGCTCTCTTAAGAGGCTTGGAAACGCTCAAATCTGATTCCTCTGTCGCTCAGCACCAAAGTCACGCAGGGTAGCTGCGGGTGGCTCCCAGGGATAGTGAAATTCCCCCCCCCCAAGATTAGGAAACCCCCCCAGAAGGCGTGTCTCCCTACCTGTGCACTGCTGGATGAATTCCTGATAATCCGCTCCTTGTTCGCCGGGGACGATAGTGGAGCCATCATATTTAAAAGTCACCCTTTGGGTTGAGAGAAGAAAACACACACACATACACACACATCAGCGTTGGCGGCTGCCCGAGGCAGGACCGCCTAAGAGATGCTCTGGCTGTCCTGGGTTAAGGATGCGGACGACAGCAAAGAAGGGACCTTATCTCGCCGATCTGGAAGACGGCTCGGCGCACCGGGCCCCTCGCGAGCTCGGGGACAGGGGCTTGCAGAGCAATGGGAAGTTCCTCACCAGATGACGGTCGAGCCGTCGTCGCGCACCAGGTTGTACGCCGTCCTGCAAGCCTCTTTGTCGATTTTGGTGGCCATCGCTTCAAGGGCTCCGGCGAGGACACTCTGCCCGCAGCGACCGTGCACACCCCGGGCCGGCCGCGAGGACTGGAACGCGGCGAGGACGCGCCGAGGGCAAGAAGGCTGCAGCGAAGCAGGGATGCGAGCTCCGAGATCCCAGCCCGGCGGTGGCTCCGGGTGCGCACCGAGAGCGCGCGCCGACCGGGCCGCGCCGTCCCGCCCCCAACAGCCATTGGTCTCCCGGGACGTGGCCCTGCCCATCTTCCCTATCTATTGGTCGCCGAGCCGGGGGGCGGGACGTCTTCGCTTGCTCTCGACCAATCCCCGCTCGGACAGGTTGCGCAACTCCGCGCTGGGGGCTGGAGCAGGGTTTTCGCCTAGTTCCCCCTCCTCCCTCCTTCTCCACTCCACCCTCCCCCCTCCTTCCCTCATCTCTACTCGCTCAGTCCCTTCCTTCTCCCTTCCCCCTACTCTCCCTCCACTCCTCCCCTTGTTCTCCCATTCCCCTAACCCTTCTTCCTCCTCCCTTCTCTCTGCACCCCTGTTATCTCCCCCCGCCTTCCTCCTGCTCTCCCCTCTATTCTTCTCATTACCCCCACCCCAACTCCTTCTTCGCTACTCCCTTCTCTCCCTTCTCTTTCTCCCTCCCTCTTCTTCCCAACCCTCCTCTCCCCTTGCCCCCCAATCCCAGTTTGAACTGGAGCTGTTCAACTCCACAGCTCCACAGAGGACTTCCCCACGGATAGCTTGACGGTAGGAGGTAGCCCCCACCCCAATATTTGCCTGGTGGTTTCTAGTTGGAGAGAAAATGGAAAGAATTAAGTATTTCAAATAGAAGGAAACAGAAAGTGGACTACTTCCAAACGCTGGTGGGATCACTGTTTACTTTGTGTCCTGGGTATTTGCATTCACGTCTTTTCTCTCCCTTTGTGTCCCTCAGTAGCTGGAGCTGACTCACTGCAGTCCATTCCTTCCCTGACTCACTCATTCATACACTGCTTCCACAAAGACCAGTTACAGAGCTAGGGCAGGTAAAATGGCCAGACTCTGGAGATAGGATATTGAATTTCAACCTGTTTCTAACTTGCGTTCTTGAGCAAGCCTCAGAAACTGATTACATCTCGAATGATGTAATCAGAGTATTGACATCATTTTCTTTTATGGTTTAATTGAAGTGGTATGTGTAAACAAAAAAAATACATGCAATAAAAGTTCATGATGGTTAATAACTAATTAAAATAATCCTAAATAGAAAACTGAAAGGTCAGGAACAATCTCCAATTAGTTATAAAGTTCTTGCTGGCAAATAAAAAAAAATGTATGCTTGTGAAAATGGGTGAATGGATGGGATCCCACTCTCAGAAAGAGTTGAAGCAGATATTTCTATGATAAAAAGGCAAAACCAAGAAAGCTACTTGGAATTTTATGTTAAAAAGTGGCTTCCATCCTGAATTTGACTCTTGGTTCAGCCTTCTGAGGGAATAGTTTGAACACACTTTCCCCTTTCAGTTGTTCTCTTCCATTCGTTGTTGCTGTCGCCCTCTACTGGACTGAAAATGGAAAAGTTGGTGTTAAACAGAACCCTCCTGTTGAGCAAGCTGTCAATTTGCCCAGCTGAGGCAGAGAAATAAACAGCACACCAAAAATTAGCACTGTATGTAAATACTTGTTTCAGTTGAGATCCACACAATATGTGAAACAGACTAATTCAACTCATATTTTAGAAGAAAAGCCAAATGAAACTATTTGACATTTACTGTGTCCTATACACTGTGTCATAAATGGGGAGAGGGATATAAGTTCATTCATTCGTCCCTTCTTTCACTCATTCACTCACTCACTCCCAGTATTAAGTCTACTGCTTGTCCGAGGCCAGAGGGTGGGTGAATGAAGGGTGTCACAAACTGACTTGCCAGTAGGGGGCAGCCACACAATGTCAATGAGCCTGTAAGAAAAATGCTATGAATCTTTCAGGTGATTCATCTCAGAACTGACATCTAAAGGGGCCCCAGGTTCTCTGCTGTGCCCGAGTCACCCTGGGGCAGAAACATGAGCGGGACAGTGCCAAGACTTCCAGTGGTCTACAAATCAGGATCTTTTTATGAAACCCTTTGATTCTTACCCTGAGGCAGTAAGAAAGCCACATGTCAGAGCTACCTAAAAAAAATCATGGAAGGAGAAAACACTGCCTGTGTCCAAATTTGAACCAGTCAGGGTCTTAAATGTCTAATATTTTTATTTTGTTTTGCTACACAAAAAGCAGTTACTTCCCTGTGGATGTTATCAGTTGTCAACAACAGAAAACAGTTCAAATTGGCTTAAACAGTAGAGGGGATGGAATGTTTCAGTGGCTGGAACATCCGGAGTGAAGAACATTCAGGCCTGTCTAAACCACAGCTTTGTCTCTGTCTTCTAAGTGTGTCTACTCTGCTCTCCTTAGTGTATAGGTTTTATCCTCAGGCAGTGCTGCCTCTCTGCCTGGCACACCCTGCCCCAAACTCTACTTGGCTGTCCTGTCTTAAAAGCCTCAGAGAGGACTTTTGAGTCCAGTGCTAGGCAAGGTGGGCGGTTATGCAATACATATGAATGTGTTATAACATGAGGTAGTATCACTAAGTATGCATTTTGCATTACATAGTTAATAAGCAGTACTAGTACTGGGCTGTGTTGTTTGTATGTGCCAGGCGCAAAACAAGTGCTTTACTCTTTCCCAAGTAATTCTCACATCAGCCTGAGGAGGCGCTGCTGAGCTCCTCCCCCCACTCAAAGCATAGATAAGAGAACTGAGGCACAGAGAGGTGAAGCCATCTCCCTAAGGATGCACAGCTAGAACATTGTGGAAATACTATTTGTTTTTCATAAAGACTAACTGTTCGGTGTAGTTTATTCCTCAGAGACAATTTTGTTTTTAAAATATTATTTACTTCATCAAGTTAACTTTGGTTTACTGTCTGTGTTTTAGGGATATAGATTCATACTTCTTCAAATGTGTGTTACCACACTGCAACCACCAACCACCAAAGTTCCTATAACCCTCCACCACGGTCTATTGGGGCCCCTCTTCTCTTGGCTCTGCAACCCACCTCTCTGGTAGCCTCAGTTTTACAGTCAGATTTCAAAGTTTAGTTTCAGCTTTGTCTGTTCCTTTTTGTTTGTTTGTTTCTTTATGTTCCATATATGAATGAAATCATCCAGTATCTGTCTTTCTCATGACTTGTCTCACTAAGTATATCCCTACAGATTCCTCCATGTTGTCACAAATGGCAAATGTTCATCTTTTTTATAGCTGAGTAGCATTTCATTGTGTCTAAATATCACATTTTTTTAAAGATTTTATTTATTTATGCATACAGAGCTGGGGTACAGGCTAGAGGTGCAGGGAGTGAAAGGATTCACGAGAGACAGTGGGGAGCAGCACACAAGCAGATTGACAAAGTACACTATTGAGGGGAGCAGCGAGTGAGACAGGAAAGGTCTGCTGTGTCATGTGGGTCACTCCCGGGGCAGGTGATCAAACTCACACTGAAGTGGCCAGGACTTGGCTTAGCTTCGCATTGCAGTGCTCCAACCCACTGTGCCACCAGGGAAAGCCCTAGATCACACCTTCTTAATCCACTCTTTCCCTCAAGTATTCAGGTTGTTTCTATAGCCTAGTTAGGTAACTAGTGCTTCAGCGAATATAGGCATGTATATACCCCTTAGGCTAGTGTTTCTGTATTCTTTGGATAGACCCCTAAGAGTGGAATTACTGGATCATATGTTAGATCTATTTTAAATGCTTTGAGACACCTCCATACTGTTTCTCAAAGAGTGTGGCCCAACCTTATTACAGCTATGATGGGAACACAGGCAGTCTGACCTTGGGATCTGGCTGTCCCATGCAGAAGTGGAGTTTGCAAACCTGGCACTGACCCAGGGTTACCATGTGTCTTGAGACAAAAGAAAGACCTGTGCAAGTGTTTTAAGACCATTGTTTCAGCTCTGGCTTTATTTATTTATTTCTAACAGACTTTGAAAAGTCAGTGGCCTGTTTTCTACATTTCCCTTGGGGCTATGAATTTAAAAGTGGAAGAAAGAAATCCCACCTCCGCTGCAATTAGAAATGGGAATAAAACATAACCCTGAAATTTGCTGTTCTCGCAAGGTGGTTGTCATTCTGAAGCAGGTGCCTACCAAGGAGGGATATTTATAGCAGATGATATTTATAGAATCTGCACTGAACTCACTGACTGTCAAATCGCTGAAAAGAGACTCCCAGAGACCTTTGGGAAAGGAAGACACTGAGCCACTGATTGCAGGAGTATAAGACAGCTCCTTTTCTAAAACACCCTCCACTTAAAAATCTGAGCGTGACCCTTCCTAGTGGCGCAGTGGGTTAAAGCATAGCACTAAGAAGCTAAAGCCTCTTCAGCATGAGTTCAATCCCCGCCCACCCGGGAGCTCACCCACAAGGCGCAGCAGACCTCTTCTGACCCACCCGCTGCTCCCCTCAGCAGTGTACTTCATCAGTCGGCCTGTTCTGCTCCCCACTCTATCTCTGGTGAATCCTCTCACCGCCCTTGCACATCTGTCCTGTACCCCAGTTCTGTATGCATAAATGAAAAAATCTTTTTAAAAAAATCTGAGCGCACCATCTTACCTAGTGCCTCAGTTCCCAATTCTTCTTCAGGAACTATGAGTGGCTCAGAGATAACTGTACTCTGGATCCAGAAACCCAGCAGTAAGACTCTGGAAGTATAACATGACCTGGTATTTTAGCTGCTAGCGAATAAGGGCAGAGGGAGGCCAGAGCATGGAGGAAAGGAGGCCCAGCAATGTGGTCCTAGTGGATAAGGGTATGGGCAGTCACTCACCAAATCCTGACTTTGCCATACCCTTACTGAACCTCACTTTCCTCTTCTGTGAAATGCACACCTCCCACAGAGGAATTATTTGAGGATCATACATGAACAATGCATGCAAAAGGATGTAACAACAGCTGGTATCTTAAGGGCCAGCCCCCCCAAATCATGAGCAGTCTTAAACCCTATTACCTGAAGTAGCAGGCTGCATGCAAATCTACTGGGAAAACAAACTCTGTATCAGACTAGTAAACAGCAAGAATTGAAACTAGAGTATTGGCTACCCCAAGGCGGGAGAGCTGAGAAGCCCTGCAGATATGTGAGGCACCCC